TAGGCAATTCTCCTGCCTCAGCCTCTAGAGTAGCTGGGACTACAGGCACCCGCCACAATGCCTGGTTATTTTTTGTTTTTGTTGCAGTTTGGCTGGGGCCGGGTTTGAACCCGCCACCCTTGGTATATGGGGCTGGCGCCCTACTCACTGAGCCACAGGCGCCACCTGGATTTAAAATTTTTTGTTGCCCCAGTTAGAGTGCAGGGTGTCATGAAAGCTCACTGCAACCTCAAACTCTTAGGCTCAAGTGGTCCTCCTACCTCAGTCTCCCACCTTAGTCTCCCAAGTAATTGTATGCCACTACTCCCAGCTAATTTTCCTATTTTTTTGTAGAGATGGGGAAGGGTCTCTCTCATGCTTAGGCTGGTCTTGAACTCCTGGGTCCTCCTGCCTGAGCTTCCCAAAGTGCTAGGATTATAGGTCTGAGCCACTATGCTCAGCTATTTACTACTAAACATTTATAAATAAATCTAAATGTTTTAGATTTATTTATTTATTACGAATGGGTAGAAGGTTTGCATGAATATCCAGAAAATATCTGAAAGAGCAGACAGTGAAAAGTTTCCCTCCCATTGCTATTCCTGTTTCACCCAGTTTCCCTCTTTAGGGGCATTGTGACTTTATTTTTATAAAACTTTGTTTATAATGTCATTTATTCAGAAAAATTTAATTTTAATGTCATTAAACAAACTTATCTTTGTGAATTGTGCTTTTTATGTCGTAAGAAGCCCTTCCTCCGCCTCATTAATTTATTCTTCTACATTGTGTTCTAAAGTTTTTAAGGTTTTACTTTTCACATTTAGATCTTTGTTCTGCCTAAAATTTATTTTTTGTGTATGATGTGAGGTAGGGATCACACTTCCCCCCATGTTGTAAAACTACATGTCCTTATGCCGTTACATTATGTGTTTATTTCCTGTAATACAACTTTCAGTGGTAATAGGAGCCTGCTGTTGAGCTTCATCTGCACGTTGGCAAATACAATTAACTGCTCCAATTTTTTATTTCTGTTTTGTTCCTACTTCTGGTGAGTACTCAGAGTCCTAAGTACTGCCTTTCAGGCTCCATAAAGTGCCCTTGTCTTCTCTAACACGTCTGGAATTTGTGTAGGCTGTGCTGGGGCTAGGAAAAGGAGTGTTCTTTTGTCACAAGGAACAAGGAGAAAGCTTTTTTCCTGTCTGTCTGATTTACCAATGCCTCATCAGAAGCTTTCAGCACTTATGTAAGAAATTTATTTATTTTTTGATTTTGAGCAAGCTTAGAATTTGTTTTAAGATATTGTAGAGCAAGAAGTTGTTTTTGTTTAAATATAGTAGTTTTTTCTTTAGTCCTAGAAATTTCTTAAGTTCTTAAACACGTTCCTTGGTATTCTTAGCCTTCTACTTTGGTATTGTGTATTCTCTGGAAGGGGATTAGTGGCCTCTGTAATATGGGAATAACTTAAAAAAAAACACTCTGTCATGTCTATCTTTTATCTTCCCTTTTACTTTTTTAACCATTTCAGTTTCTTAAATATTGTCTTACCAGATGGTCCACTCAGAGGAAGTGAGAAAGAGGAGGGCGAAAACTAGCTTAAAGAAGTTACAGTGTGGCATAATGAGAGTGAATGAACATAGGAAAGGAAGGGCAGGAAAAGCAGAGGGGAAAAGATACTGAGATTGTTGGCATGTTGCTGCTGTGTGTTAGGACCTCCATTGGTATCTTTTTTCTCATATTCCTTATAAATAGTTAGGGGTAGCCTTGAACCTGTTTATTCTTCTACTTGTTCAGGTTGTTTAGGAGGGAGCACTTTGCACGGTAAGAGCCAAAGAGAAGCTATTGAGAAACAAGATAGCTAGAGATTTGTGCTTCTAGTACCTTCATGTGTGTGGCATTTTATCCAGTATGGTGCTGAAGGGTCAACTATGATAGAAGTTTTAGAATCTTAACTGAGTCTTGCCTGGGCATTCATAACATAAAAGTCTGTAGGTTTTTTTTTTTTTTTTTTTTTTTGAGACAGAGCCTCAAGCTCTCCCCCTGGGTAGCGTGCCGTGGCATTACAGCTCACAGCAACCTCCAACTCCTGGGCTCAAGCGAGTCTCCTGCCTCCGCCTCCCAAGTAGCTGGGACCACAGGCGCCCGCCACAACGCCCGGCTATTTTTTGGTTGCAGCCGTCATTGTTGTTTGGCGGATCCGGGCTGGGGATTCGAACCCGCCACCTTAGGTGTATGTGGCTGGCGCCTTAGCCGGTTGAGCTATAGGCGCCGAGCCAAGTCTGTAGGTTTTATGTGTTTAGGTATTTCTGCTTCAGGAATATAATGGATGTTATTCGTATACGTTTATGTGTTCAAACTAATTTGATCTAAAGTCAGTTATTCAGAATTAAAAGGGATATGAATTCCATGAAGACATCAATTTAGACTTGATAAATTAATATAGTTCTTTTTGGTGGTAACACATTTTATGATTTTCTGGACTTTTAGTAGAATGCTAATTTATTTTTCTTTCTTTCTTTCTTTTTTTTTTTTGTAAATCCTCTAAAGGTTATGCCGGATAGAGTGGTAATTTGTTTTTGGCAGTGATTAAACAGTGTAGATTTTTTTTCTTATTCTTTTTTTTTTTTCTGCTTCTTATTTCTTGACTGAAAAAACTGACATAAAAAAAAGGCTCTTCTTATCAATGGCTTAAGATGAAGTTGCTCTGATTCTAATTGACTTATAATCATTGTCATCTTTAAGTTTACACAGAAAAAATAACCTATCTTAGTGTATAAAAAGGTTGAGGGGGCAAGAATTTTAAATTCTCTTTCTTTTTTTTTAGGAGATGGTCTTGCTCAGTTTCTCAGGCTAGAGTGGAGTGGTGCGATCATAGCTCACTGCAGCCTCCAACTCCTAGCTCAGGCAGTCCTACCTTGAGCTGTAGCTGTAACACCTCCGCTGCTGATCCTGCCTTACAAAGAGGTCTTGAACTCCTGTAGTACTGGTACTACATAGACCTGTGCCACTAGGCTCAGCTGATTTAAAATTTTTTTTTTTGTAGTAAGAGGGTCTCACTATGTTGGCTAGGTTTGGCCTCAAGCAGTCCTCCTGCCTTGACTTCTCAAAGTATGATCCACTGTGTCCAGCGTAGGAGCTCTTTCTTTAGTGACTTTTTGGCTTAAGACTGCACATTGGGCTCGGTGCCTGTGGCTCAAGTGGCTAAGGCGCCAGCCACATACATCTAAGGTGGCGGGTTCGGATCCCCAGCCCGGGCCCACCAAACAACAATGATGGCTGCAACCAAAAAATGGCCAGGCGTTGTGGCGGGCGCCTGTAGTCCCAGCTACTTGGGAAGCTGAGGCAGGAGACTCGCTTGAGCCCAG